TATATATATACTTAATATAGAAAGAGAACAAGAAACTAGTAGACTTTTAGAATGCAATTTATTTCAACATGAATATTTTAACATCTCATCTTCAAGACTGATTTATGAACATTATGTACAAGTTGACATAATAACATAGTGTTTATAAATCAGTCATGCTGAAGATGACTTGAGGACAGGTTGAGACATTCATGTTGAATTAAACTGTGTTCTAAAAGTCTACTTTACTTCATGTGTGTGTGTGTGTGTGTGTGTGTGTGGCTGGGTGTGTGTGTGTGTGTGTGTGTTTTATTTTATTGTTGTATGTATATCGTTGTTTTGAAATTGCTCTGTTAACAATAAATTGATTTTACATTAAAAAAAAGTTTTTACAGCCAAAATGGCCACCATCTTGGAATTTTTTTTTGACGACGTCATTATTCCGATTAAATTTTTAACGACATTGAAGAGTATCTATTTAGCCAAGTTCTTGCTACATTTGATATACATAGCATATGTAAAAGTGACTAATAACATACATTTATTTCCCCAATCCCCATCTTATTTAATCCAAAAAAGGATATTTTATGTCAAAATTTCAAAGTGCTATAAAAAAAATTGCCCAAGCTCTAAGAATGGGTATTTTTTTGTCTGAGACACTATATGATATATTGATTCAGAAAAACCAAAAATAAATTTTCCTTTACATTTTGCCCACTAATTTCCTGCTGCACCCAGGCTAGTGTTCAACGAGGTCGCGATTCTCAACTGAATATAATCCGTAATAACGAATTATTAATTCGTATTTACGGATTACTAATTCGTAATAACGAATTAGTTAATTCGTAATTACGGATTAATAATTCGTAATTACGAATTAGTAATCCGTAATAACGAATTAACTAATTCGTTATTACGAATTAGTAATCCGTAATAACGAATTAACTAATTCGTTATTACGGATTAGTAATCCGTAATTACGAATTAGTAATTCGTTATTACGGATTAATGAACATATACTTTATTTATTGGCACTAATGGGCTTTCGTATTACAACAATAAAGTTATCTTTTATATCTTGCTTGAGTTGATTATGACCTACTGTGCGCCCTCTGTTGGACAACCTGCCTTTTACATTAAAAAAACAACAAAGTACGATTGTATGATCAATCATCACTTACCGCTTACCGGTACGGTAGCTGTCGGTCAGGCTTACAGAGGTGATGTGGACGTGGAAAGGTAGGGCTTATATTTTTCGTTGTTGTACTGTAGGTGTACCCCGTGGGTGTACTCGTTAATAAAAAATCAATAATTAATTAGTTAATAACTGATTAATTTAGGCCTACGATGAATGTGAGATAGATTTTATTATCAGGCAATAATTAGTTAAACTAGCCTACATACTAGGCCCTACCTAAATAGTAATACATACCTTTGAGATAAGAAAGTAGAAGATTGGCCAGGAGGAGGGTGACCAAGGACTTAGCTCTTGTGAACCCAGACATAGGTCGAGGCAGAGCTACAGTAAGACAGTTGTAGTCTTAGGTTTAGGTATAAAGCCTGTGCCTATGCCTTTTGCTGAAGTATTGTGGCTCGTGGCCTGGATCCCGCCTGGACACCAACCTACTATTACTAACCTACATCATAGCTTTAGTTAGAGGCCTGTTGGCCAAGGCTCTATACTACCACGTTAGGCCTAGGCTAGGCCCCTAGAATATGTTATTTTTAAATTTAATTTGCTTTGCACCTGTTGACACTTTCTCTCGCTGGAATTTATACTGTTTCTTATCATGATTTAAGATTTCAGTAGCATGTCGAATAAAATAAAATAAAAGTAACAACAGAAAATTTGGGAAATATTGATGCAGGAATAACAGCAATTTTTTTTTTTTGCCGCATCATTTACAATATTTCAACAGCATAAAAAACAATGCAATTTTGTGACTGGGAATATATTTTCTTTAAAAAACAATAAAATTAAACCAGTTTTTATTTGATACTATATTTGCAATATTCTTGCCAAATATAAACAGTCCCTCCGTCATTGATAAAAAAAAAAAAACTGGACATGATTTCATTTAACCTAAAAAATGTGCGTTGGAAACGACTAATCACTCCATCCGAAACCATCTAGAGCAGGCCTGTAACGTTTTTTTGCAGGAACAACAAATAAAATTTAAAGTTTTAAAAATAATATGAACGGGCATAGAAGCGTCACGCCAATATTTTTTTATAAGCGCCTCTCGAAAATAAGCGTCGCTCTTGAATAAGCGCCGCACTGAAGCCTCCAAAAATGTTATAAGCGCCGCAGCGCTTGTTCAAGTCAAAATTAATCAAAACGACAATAAGTTTAAATCCAGCACGCTTCCCAAACTATGGGCTGCGACCCACAAATGGATCATCAAAGTTACCTTTACGTTGTGTCGTGAGCAAGTTTGCAAAAAACAGTTCAATTTATGTGCTCATTTTTAGACAGTTGATGTGAAGTTTAACAGGTCTGACGACTTAAAAACAGTGTTTTTAGGTGAATCCTTATTACAATGAATATTTTGAAATTAATATTGGCTAATTTTTCTGTTGCCATTTACCACAACATAATTGTGTAAATCTAAGCTTTCAATCGTTTAAAATAATTTATAGAAATAAACTTAAAATAAAAAATTACTGTCAGGTGACTTAAAAATAACATTATCCAAATGAATTTCAAATGTGTAACTATTGCAATGCAAACAATAAGCCTAATATACCCAAAAGCCCTCGTCATGCATTTTGGTTGATAAGATTATAGTAGTCAATGGCATATCCAAAATGTTAAGCTTTGTCATGTGATGGTAAGTTAGGCCTATCAAATGTATCAATTGAATAAGTATGTTAAATACGTCATAAATACATCCAGTAGAAACTATACCAAAATGAATGATAATAAAAGATGATTATTATTAAATTATTATATGAATAAAAACATACAATTAAACAAATCCTTTGAAGCGATTAAACAAATAAATAGGTTAATAATGTTTTATATTATTTTAGTACATCTTATGACTAGATATTGTTTGGTGCTCATAGTCTTATATCCTTGTTATCTTTTATTAATTACTGTATAATATGTTGTTAACACTTGTAGAATTGCCAGTGGAACATAATTTCTAGGTTTTTCAGACAATAAATTTATATTCTTTCTCTTTCTCAAAAGCCATTTATTTATCTGATTTATGTTATGGTTGATAAAATGCCCCCGAAACTGCTAAATACCGGGATGGTGTCCGGCAGGGGATAGTTTAACTAGTTGTAATTAAGAGTAATATACCGTATTTAAGAGTAGTTAAGCCTAGCTTAAGGTAGTTAGGGACGTCCTGGGTACGAAATTAAACTCCATCCGGTCGAAGCGTTGGTGACTAAACTGACAACCCTCTCAAATTCTGTACAGTATGTCTTAGTGGCTGCTGAGGGGAGGGTGTTTATGGTCACCCAGTAGCAAGAAAAACCAATAGCTAAACAAAGGGCGGATGAGCTCCTCGGAGTCAACGGCCAACCATTAATTAGTTTAAGGAATAGGAGTAGTTTAGTCTCATTGTTATTATTGTTATTATGATTATTTTTATTTTATTGTTATTATTTTACTGTTGTTTGCTTTTTCTCAGTTGGCCTATATTATTTCTCTGTAAAGCGCATAGGGGCAATGTGCAATATGCGCTATATAAATATAACATTATTATTATTATTATATTGAATCTTGAATCATACAGTATATGCCTTAGCCTGGAACTACGTACAATTCAATACAGATGATAATGAATTGGTTAATGATCTTTTGCTATTTTGGTAGTGGATCTATTGCCGTTTTACTACTTGTCATTGCCTTTTCGGTTTAGGCCAAAAAAAAAATTTTTGTGTTGGCCATGTTTTGTTAAAAATAATCGGTAGGTCAGTAGGAAAACTTTTTTTTTTTAAACAACCAAAATTTGTTTACGCCTAAAAAGTAGAGAATACATAAATAATACAACAATTTTGGATTTGCTTCACGTACCATCCACCAAAATGCGGCTAGGCCTTGGCCCCTATTCTGGCCAATGCTATTCCAGCCTTATTTGCTTATAAAAATTATTGTTTGTTATAGTAAAAAAAAATCATTAAATAAAATGCAGACCCTGAATTTCATAAAATCTGGGTTAGTCGGGTGTGGCCAACACAATCATTTTTGTTTATTGCCATAACTAGAAGAAATAAATTTTACTCTTCCAGGCTAAAACAGGGTTAAAGCAGTAGGCCTACAGTATTACACATTTGATTAAATTATGGAAGCGTTTCAGCATTGGATGCATCACTCTTCGTCAATTGACAAACGCAATTTACACTCCAATTTCACTAGTGTCTTCGTAAATCATAAAGGGCAAGCTAATGTTTGTCAATTAACACTATGCCTTATATGGATCAGTATTGGCTGTCTGTGGGTCATAAGACTGTTCATGCGCAAACCTGCACCACAGCCTTTTCAAGAAAGGAAAGATGTTGAAAATGGCATTGTTAAGAAGTCTGAAGATGAAATTGTGCATCAACGGAACACTAGTGTGCTGAATGATCCATTACTTAAGGAGCCTGTAGAAAATGGTAAAGCAGTAGAATTACCAGAAGAGAAACCAACAACAACAGATGAAAAAACTGAAAAAAAAAGTCAGTTTTCTAAAGTTAAACCACCACCGACCTTTGACTGTTTTCTCAAGTATTGTATCCTTTTCGGCGGATTCATGATGTTTTTCTATCTTTGCGATTCGCAACATGTTTTCCCTGATGGTGAACGTGTGTACTCAAGAGATCTGTTTGTATTCTTATGTTTTCTGTTGTTTGCTGTGGCCTGTTACTTCACAATCAAAGTTAACGAAGACAAAATTTTAAACAGGTATGTAAAAAGAAATATTCTTTTGGTCTGAATTTACAGCAGGGTGGTCAATATTTGAGGAGAGAGCCCCTTACCAATGTGGGCATGATTTTGCTACAAGTAGTTAACCAATGTTTGCTTCTGGAAATCTTTATTTTTTTTTCACATAACGTATGATATAAATCTCACTGATTGATATGAATATTACCTTACAGTCAAATCAATAATCACAATCAAATCAAATAATTATAAATTTATGATATTTAATATTAAATACTAATAAGGGAATCTTGTATGCTGCACCAGTGCCTGTCAATATTGCAGATCATTCCTCACTGCTCGTTAGATACACAATTGTGCAATAGACCATGTGTAACCTTATCCTCTGTTTTGTTGGGAATAATTTCTAGTTTCGCAGTTTAATCAAGTCAGCAGTCTGATTATATTTTATTAAAAAATTCACATTTTTTTGCACCAAATCAGTTTTAATTTCTTGTTAATGTTTAAATCAGACATTTGTTGCATTTTGAACTGAGCTTTCAAAACTATTCCAAAATTTGGCACCATGATAAGAAAAAATTATTGTTTTTTGTACTCCGGCTTGGGTTTTTCCAAATGTACGACATGATATAAATCCAGAATTATTAATTAACGAGAGCCCTAGTATCTGGATCGGGAGCTAACCGTTAGCGCTTACGGTTAGCAAGCGCTATTGGTTAGCAAGTTGGGTGTGTTTCTATCATCAACCAATTACACGTGCGCGTTTACAATTTCCAGTTTCTTATTGGCTAGTGATTCAATCATATTTTTGGTATCTCGATCGGGATTTTCTCGGATGGATGCACGGCAGCTAATGGTTAGCAGCCGTGTGAGAACATAGCCAGAGTTTGAATTTAAATCAACATTTAATAATTTTATTAGCCTTTGATGTGTTCCAATGAACATCTGTACATTGTATTATATTATTATTACTATATTATTGTGCTTTCTGTACATTTATCTTTTTAAACAGTTGTTTTTATGAGTTCCTCTTTCACTTGAATTTTTTAATTGTAATGTTTTACATATTTTCATATCAGTATTTTATAATGTTTAAATACTATCAGTTTTTTTATGTTTTTTGCCTGATATTTTTGAAAATTTCTATGTGTCATTGGAAAGCAAACTAATAATGACATCTTTACTTTTAACTTATCTTAGTACTTTTAAAAAAAATATTGTGCTTAACATTCATTTTACTGTAGTTAAAGACAGAAAAATTAAATTGAAGCTGACCAGGGAGGTACTGTAGAATAGCACATCCCTGAATACACAATAACCACAGAACAAACACAGTCCAGCTTTGAGAAAGTCAGACTTGCATAAAACCAACCATCCATAGATTTACTGATTCATTGAATCAAGAACTTAAAAGCCATTACTGTACTAGAGTTTTTTTGGGTGTGCTCTTTCTTAGTGGTCTTTGATTCTTTTGTTCATAATTACCTTACACCAGCAACTCAACGCTCTCATCACAAAAACAACAGCAGTTTTATAATACCCAGAGAGAGATTGAATTTGTATAAAATCTCATATTTCCCAAGAACTGTACCTGAGTGGAACTCACTTGACAATTCAATCACCTTCATTACTCTTTTAAGCAACAAATTGAACAATAATAAGCCACACCCCCGCACAAGCCTGCCACTATAACCTTAAGAGTCCAGCCAGTATACATACAGATACAGATAATTTTATTAACATTATAACTCATCTAAATCTTGTTTTGATACTGATGCAAATTTTCTCCTTGATTTTATTTTATTTCCTCAGGTACTGAAAGATGTTTTTGTTTTCATTGTATTTTTTTGATATTATAATTTTTTTATCTTATAATCTATACAGTAATTTTACTATGTCACATACTGTAGATCAGGGGTTATCAACAATTTTGCAATAGGGGCCAAAATTGTTCATTGATAAAATTTGAAGGGACAAGGCAAGAGGTGTACTATGGTGTGTAGTGCCATCCGGATGCTTGTGAGCCAGGGGAAGGTTATGGAAAATCGGTAATTTTAAAAATATAATAAGCCGCTAGACGCTAATACAGGGCATCTTGATCTCCATTGTGTTTGGTAATGCCTAAAATATTGTAAAGGCTTATCACACAATAGGGTGCCTAGCCACCCCCCATTCGTTTACCGTAAAAAAAAATTAATGGTCACTCATCTTGTGTGTTTGTGCTTCGCGTGAAAACTTACACTTTCTATTTTAAGCTTCCCTCTTTTCAGATGCCATCTAAGATCGTCTAGCAGTCTACTAATTCCAAAAAATCCTTCAATGGGAGGGGAAACCTCCTCCCCTGCTCGGTCTTTCTCAACTTAAATTATTTACCCCCCCCCCATTGCTAAATACTACTAGATCTGCCACTGCTGCTTAATGACTGAAATTAGCCTTTGATGTTTGTGCCAGTTGTCCAGTTTTAGTTCAGTTGTGGCAATCCTCAAAGTCTGATCTACTGTATAGGTAAAGTGAGTTACTATGGACTATGGTCTATATGGAACTATTGTACACACTACAGGCAGCAGAGCGCCACAATCCTATCGTACTAAGCCCTGCTAGACCTGAAACATAAAGCGAGTGACCGTGCGAGTGGCCGAAAGTCGATGTGTTATGATTATTTTTCTTTGCTGTTTGCTGGGATCCAATTTGATTAAATCGCTACAATTTTTAGGGCAATATATACTGTACTGTAAGCCTAGTCGTCAAAACAGAATGCAAAACTAAGGTTAGAATTTAGGTCTAGGCCTAAGCCTTAACAAAAATGTTATTTTCAGCTTGTATTTGCAGGCCGCATAACACATACTCGCGTACAGGAGATGGGCTGTAAACTGACAGTTGGGAACCCCTGAGAACTGCTGTAAATGAAGGCAATTTTATATTTAATTAATTTTTTTTCTAATAGGTATTTCATTTCAAAATTTCAAAAAAGACTTCCAAAGAATGCTTTATGTTTTTTTCCACATTTTTAGGATAATATGAATATGCAAATAAAATAGAGCTACAAAACTGGATCATTCAAAATTGAGTGAAATGTCGCATTACAGTAGCTGTAAATCCAAAAGTGAAATATTAATTATAATTATAATTACCAACTACAAAAGTAAAAACCACCATAAATATTTTACTGTACTATAATTATAATCCCTATTAAATGATTTTGTATAGAGCCATTTTCCCAGGTCATATTCTCTCCTCATCACCCTCACTTGCCAATCAGTGATAATAACTTTGGTATGGAGTTAACCTCCACTGTGGATAACTAATGATGATAATTCATTCATCCAAACAAGTGAACAATACAATTTACACAAAACTGTAGACAACAGAAATGACAAACAAATTGTAAAATAACCTCCAGGATTGAAGAGTGACAGACACTTTAGCTTGAAAGCACATCAACAGAGTCTTAAGAAATTACAGATAATATAAATAATAAAACATTAACTTATTTATTTTACAAAAAAATAAATAAAAAGAAATTAATTGTTGGTGTAAAAAAAAGTAATAAAGGAATTAAAATAATAAATAAATTATAGCATTAAATTAATTTGTTTATACTGTTTTTATGTACAAGTGAAAAGGTGCTAAAATAAATTAAATTTTTGAGAAAGACATATTGCCCCAATTGAGATATGAACGCAAGACCTGATTACCATTTGGATACAGTATACCAACTGAGCTATGATGCCAAGTATTACTGTAAACACTCTGATTTTAAAATGAATATTAATACCACAGATCATATATTCAGTCCTTGTGTCACCACTGGACAGAGTGGTATTAAGAATGGTTTGCTTTTATTTTTTGGTGGGCACTTATTTAATCACTAAATTCTATATTTGACATACAGTGTAATGTAGCATAATTTTGAATCAGCCCCTGACATAATTTGATTCGCATCACTGGTCACACTGGAAGAAACCAGAAAACGAAGCTGGTTCAACATGAAGAACATGTTTCAAACATTATGTATGAATGAACATGAAAATAATTATTGACACAACCCAAAGTACTGCTTGAATGCCGTAGAATTGTTGGAATCGTAAAACAGATTGTAGTGAGTATACATAATTATAATTGCAATTTTCTACTAGTAGTAGGCCTAGAGGCCAGCAAACCTAGCCCATTCTCTAGGCTAATTAATTGCCTAAGCCCATCCCAATGCAAAGAATCTTAGTAGACATTAGTAGATACTGTATAGCTCTATTTTTGCACACAAATATGTACGTTGTACATTCTCTTATCTTGTCTACTATACAAGGACTTTGCTTTTCAATATATTGATGACAATATTAATGTCAAAATATTGAATACCAACACGACGGTATGTACAGTACGTATTTATACTTGGAGTTGGAGTATGTATTATACTCTCTTATCTGAGATTAATCAGTGCATCTTCCTGTTCTTATAGTTATAGCTACTGTAGTTGAAAAGTTAGTAGTGTCTATTATAAGCCTATATCAGGGGCGTAGGCTGGTGTCATCGTGGGGNNNGGGTGTTGCTAAAATTAAGAATGCAAAATTAAATTTTTATAAATGAAAACTTAATACACTAGTCATTTTTAGTATTTTAACTCACTTTAAGGACACTCATTCCTACATTTTTTAGTAGGTGGTTTTATGCACAAATACAGGTGGCCTTTCAAGGAAGTGCACCCTCTATGTATGTTGCCATTACTAGGGGCTTCTGGGTTAGCTTTCTTTTTTCGTGATAAAGCTGAATGCCTTATGGGTAAATTTCCCTCACGATTAAAAATTGTAAAATGGTAAGAGAGTTTGGTCTACAGGAGCTCATGCTTCGTACAGGTCATTCCATTCATAGAAGAAGCCTTAAATGGTTTACCTGTCGTTAGCCGTAGTAGCTTAGGTCAATACATAACACCGGCTGTATAAAAATGATTATAAGATTGAAAATTGTTAAACTGTTGTAGTGAATAGTATGTCCATGTTTAAGTTAGTCATTTAGTAAATAATATATTTATATAAATTATTTTTAAATAACAAATAATCTTATATTAGATGTACTGTATGTAAATATAATATAGTGTATAGTGTAATATGAATGTTTTGTATTGCAATCATTTTTAATTTAATGTTAAACAAAAGATCTGATTATATAGTGTAGGCCTAGACTAGAAGCCTAAAAATATTAAAGTAAAATTAAAATACGTTAGTGCTTAAGTTTCATATTATAGAAGATTCAGGATGATGGAAGAAAAGCAAAGAGATCCGAAGTGGCTCAGAATTGTACCAAAATTATATAACAATGATAATGTCTCATTTATATACTTTACGAGTTTGTAGAACTACTACTACTACTAAAAACCCACTAATAGGGGCTAAATCGAAAATAGCCTTATGTCTATTAAGCTCTGTCTAGTAATAACTATTATGTTATATGTAGCGCTAAATTGTTTTTGTTTTTTGCTGTAGGAGACAGGCTGTCGTCAGATTTTTGCTGCAGTTCAAGATCTTGAATTTCAGGAGTAGGTTGATGACTGGTGTATTTGCCGCACCCCAAATTTTAAGGTAAAAATCGTGTATAAAATTTGTGGCTTATACATTGGAATATACTGTACAGCATTCGTTGTCTTGTCAATTGTCAGATTTAAAATAGTATTTTCTCCTTTCTTTCCGATACAGAGATTACCTCAGGAACCAAACCAGTCACCATGAATACACATGGAAACAAGAACTATTTCAAGATTGCATTCATCTTTCTTGATATTGTCACTGAACATCTCAGGAACATTTTCAGACAGGAATGGGACACCCAATGTCCAAAAAATCCCTGGCACGATGACAACAACAGTCTCCAGTACCTAAAAACAGAAGCCACAAAACTTGGTACTTGGAAGAGTTTGAAGAATCCTCCTAAGTCAGGTGACCGAGACGACTGGGATCCAACTACCTTATTCTCTGTGCTACTGTATTCTAAAACCATAAATCTTTCAAAAGCAAAATGCAAACAAATTGAGGAACTACGAAAAATAAGAAATATCTACTTTGCGCATCCTCCTACAGCATCAATAAGTAGAAGAGCATTCAGAGTCATCTATCAAGACATTAAGACGTGCATGATCAGTCTAAACTGTTCCAAATACATGCAAAAACAAATGGATGATGTCAAAAAAGAAATTATGAAAGTACCCCAAGGTTACATGAAGAAAGTAGAAGCAAAATTATGTATAATCAAAATTCTGGAGACCGATAACAACAAGCTTCTAATGCAGTTGCTTGATTTGCTACAAAAATATGGAAATTCCATATTATTCCTTTTGATTGTTATTATAGTTGCCATGGTATTTTACTTATTTTTACATCAAAGCTATGGCCCCATAAAGTTGTTTACAAGAACATGTAATAACTCTAACAATATCTTCCTTGAGTCACAGAAGCCTGTCTATTACATAGGCCATGAATGGGATATAAACACAGGTGCGAATGTTCTGGCCAATGGTTCTTACCAAGTGGTCAGCATTACTGGTCCACCAGCAATCGGTAAAACAGCAACGGCTGTAGCAGTAGGACAAGTCTTGAAGAACAATCATGGTTATCAAGTGGCTTTTGTGGATTTCAAACAAATAAATGTGAGCTCCGTTCGCATTAGAACAGATATTTACAAAGATATTGTTTTGTCCATAGATTATGAATTGGAAAATGTGCCTGATTCACTGCAAGAATTTAAATTGCTGATAATAAAACTAACAACATGTCCAACACTGCTCATTTTTGACAATATAGAAAATATTTTGAACTCCACATCAAAGGAAATATTCTACGAGATAACAAAACTGTGTTTGGCAATTAACAAAGTCAAAGTCCTTACTACATCCCGAAAAGAATTTGATATCATAGGAGTGGCTATATATCCGATTAAATTGGAGCCATTGCCAAAATCAGCGTCAAAATGTTTATTGTTTAAACTTTTGCCAGGATTTTTACAAAAAAGCTTAGTTACGAAAATAGCAGAGAAAACAGGTGGGATTCCTTTGTTGTTGGAAGTAGCTGCAAGTCTAGTACGTAGCAAATACTATGAAGAATCTGAATTACTGAAAAGATTTGAAGAACTGCCCATATTAGTCATTCTTAATGACACCAAAGACATGACAGAGTCTAGTAACTATTACAAGCTTCTTAAGATTTTATTTGATGGTTTTGATCCAAGTGTCCAATTCACCTTTATTGCTGTTGGGGCAGTTCCAGTTATTTTGGATCAGACCAGTGCCGATGCTGTATTGAACTTGAACTTCAGTGAAAAAGTTGATCTATATCCACTTGTAAACTATAATCTCTTGAAGATATTTGACATGCCAAGTGGACAAAGGTTGTACGGAATGCACTCTGTTATCAGTGAATTCACCAGATTGGTTGCTGAAGATAATCCACATTGGTCAAAGATACAACTTGCAGGATTTAAGCCTTTTTATGCGATAGAAACAGAATCCGGTAATTGTGAATCACTTTCACTTATTGCGGCAGATTACAGTGACATGACATTACAGCAACCAATATGGGAACGTGCCGGTAACGTACAAAAATTTCTGGTGCATAATAGATTGATTGAAAACAGTGAGCAATGTGGTGTAATGGTGGCATATCGTGCTGCACTTGAATTTTTTGATCGTGGTCAATATGCTAAGAGCATGGACATTCTACTCCGAACAAAACAACTAATAAAAGACGATGATAATCAACTTCTTAAGACTCTGGCAAACTTTGCATTATCGGACACAGCAAAATACCTCAAGCAAGGCAATTTAAATCTGAGTATTAAATTTAGCAATTTGTTAATTAGGACATTGAATTTGATAGAAACAGACCCATGCTTTGTTGCCACAAGTCTGTTCAAACTTGGCACATTGTCCAGTAACACAAGTTTTTACATAGATGCTGCTTTTGTTTTAAAACAAGCCTTAACATATTATCGACAACAATATCAACAACAGAATTGTAGCGAAGAAAATTTGGTATCTTTGGTTTTTAAGCTTAGAGAGAGCTTATATACCCATTGGCAATATCATGCAAGCATAGCTGATTTACGCATATTAGCTGATCTACTGAAAATCAATGATGACCAACTAGAGTTTAACATATTAGAGACTGATTGGTTTCTTGCTATTATGTTTTATAAGGCACAGGACTATGAAAGCTGCTTTCAAATAGTAAGAAGAGTCCTTATGAGTTCTTATGAAATTGATTATCATAAACAAAAGCATGTGTTTCAAGCTTTGACAGACTTGGCCCTCAAAGCAGCTGATACATATTTCAAACAAGGTAACTTTGCTATGACCATCCAATTTAACATTCTTTCTCTTAATACACTGAAAATGTTAGAAACAGACTCATGTTTTGTTTCATTACTTTATTTCCATGTTGGCCTTCTGTTCTATAGGCTAGGAATTTACGGACAAGCTACTACTGCTTTTAACCAGACTTGGACATTTCATAAACAGAACAAGTGTGATGAAGACAATTTGGGGCTTGTAGCTTTCCACCTCGGGAGAACCTACTATCACTGTGGTCAATATAACGATAGCATAGATGTTTTACACATGGCGGCTGATCAATTGGAAAAAGATTATTTACATCAGTTTATGGCTAATAGCTTCCTTGCTTTTAGCTACTCTGAGATACATGAACATAAAACAAGTTTTCAAATTACAAGAAACATCCTCATCAATAATTCTTATTTGTACACACTCAACAGCTCTTTGTATGAAGGTGATCTTATGAATCTGACAAACATTGCATTATTAGCAGCAACCAAATACCATAACCAAGGCAAATTAAACCAGAGCATTGAATTTTACAATTTATCTATTGCAACATTGAAAATGGTTGATGCACACTCAAGTTTACTTGCTTCTGTGTATGCAAACCTTGCCATTGTCCTCTTTGGCGTGGAGAGACATGCAGATGCAGCAGTTGCTTTAAATACGGCACTGGAATTTCATAAATGGAAAGGGTGTGATGATGAACAGCTTATTGTTGGAGCATTTAGCATTTGGAGTTCTTTTTATACAATTGGCCAATACTATAAGAGTATAGAGGTTTTACTTGGAACAATTGATGTATTGAAGAAAAATTCTGATCATCAATTTGAAGCAAATGTTATGCTTGTTTCTAGTTATTTTATGCTACACGACTATGAAAATGCTTTTCAAATTCTTAGGAAGGTCTTAGATAGTTCATATCAAGTTGATTATCTGAAGTACAAAGAGAAGCTTGAGACTCTGAGAAAGCTGGCAAGAGCATATAAAGTATTGTAATGTAATGTATGCCAATCTGAGCACTGATTGGCAATACAGGTATACACAATTTCATTATTAAGTCACAATTAATTAAAAGGTTTCTAATGATTATTGGATATTTTGCCCCATATTATCTTGTACTAAAGTATGCAATAGACTTTACAATAAGTACCATATTCATAATTTAAAAGTAGATTGTTTACCTGTTCACTATGGGACAAATGACATTCGCTTTCCTGTCAAAATATATGTAAATGTACTTATGTTTATTTACAAGAATAAAAAATGTTAAAGAAAAATTTGTATTGTATTATTATATATGTATTGTATTTACCGAGTCCACCTCATGTTCTTGGCTTATACTATTAAAGATGCAATGTTAGGCCCATTGTTGTTATCAATGGTGCCAACAACTTTGACCACTGATGCTACACTGGTTTGCAATTTTGCCTAATTACAGATGAGAATAGACAAACATTTATTATAGACCAAAATCCATAAAGACATAGGTCTAAATTCCAGAAAAATGACTTTTCCATCAGAATCGTTGGCTACTTTGCCCTTAGGCAACTGATACTTGTCAGATTACTGATTATTGTGAAAACTAAGAAAAAATGGGCCGTAAATCTTCATCTTGTCCCGTTTGTTAGAAATTCCATATCGAATTACAGACAACCGGCCCAGGACGATCGGGCCCATTTTCAGGATGATTGAACCCAATTTAAAAGTAGGCGCAATTGTCCTGAAAAGTGACTCATATATCTTCATCCTGTCTAGTTTGAAATTCCACAGATATGCCTGCAATTTTGAGTGACCCGTATCTTGCACCAAATAATTAGATGCTACTGAATTTTTTGTATTTACTAGGAATCTGAAGTCATAGGGCCTGTTTCTGCTAAACAAAAAAACATGTGTTTTTAAATGGTTATTAAAAAACATGGGTTTTTACCCCAGTAGAAATGGGCACTAACACTGTTAGGAATGCATTCTAAAAATGTGTGTTTTTACACGCATTCATTATAGGGTTCGCGTTCAGAAAACGCGTGTTTTGTGGTACACTTTTTAGCTGCAACGCAATACCATGTTAGTCATGACCCGTCGGTGACCCAAATTGACCTCTTCATTGGTGTGATCGCTCTTCCGCGGGAAATTCGGGGCGAAGAAAAAATTAAAATAATAGGATGACATGCTTGAAGATCATACCATACTTTTTTCATACTTTTTTGGTGCGTTGCTTACTTCTTTCGCAGCATGCACTGTAGCTCGCAAGAAGTAAGGTCGGCGTAACTTCCGTTGGTGACCGTCATTTAAGCTCCGCCCACCTGCCAATGCTCGCATTACCATGTTTTTATTAGTTGCACTTTTCACTAGAAACGTGTTCAGAAGGAATTTAACCGTTTATAAAAAAACATGTTTTTGACATCAGCAGAAACATGCTCATAGGAAATGCATACTATACTGAGAAGTCTGACACTGTAATATAAAAGGTTTCAAAAATCAATATACTGTATTATCAGGGGCGGATTTAGAGGGGGGGCTAAACAGGCTTTAGCCCCCCCCCCCCTAAAATTTCATAGCCATTTCTTTTTAACTGCTTTTTGAAGGTCCGAATTAAAATATTGTTTATTGTTTTCTTCACACACATCATATTTATGGGCTAAACATTTTACAGTAGTTGTTTTTCAGTGATAAAATAAAAATTAAATACGTTTTTTAACCGATCAGCGGACAAAAACGTTGCTAAGAAAGCTTCTTTTGCCTTGTCTTCATGCTCAAATCTCGAAGCAAAGGCCGTTGTGTAGCGGTCTCAACGTTTGTATAATACACTAAACTTTTCGTGTAGCACGTTTTTGTTCTTGTCTAGTCTTTCCTTGATTGCTTGCGGTCAGAGGTATTTGAATGTTTGTAAATAAACTAATAATGAACTAAAATTTTCGTGTCTTGTCTTGATTGCTTGTGGTCAGAGGCAGGTATTTAAACGTTTGTATGATACACTAAACATTTCGTGTCGAGAGTTGTTCCAGTTTAGTTTTTTCTTGATTGCTTGTCGTCGGATACTACTACATTTAAATCATATTTTAAGGGGAATTCTTTTGTCATCTGAGGTTCTCCTTTAACATTGTCAAATTTTACCTTTAGGGACAGTATTTTTGCTATTTAAGTACATAGCCAGTGACACACTAAGTCTGTTTATTGACCTTGCATTTGCATTAATATTTTTTTGAAACGTGGTTCCAATATTTTAAGCATGGCATATAATTTGCCTTTTTAATATTTTTATTTAAATTATGTTGTTTCTGTGAGTATCCTACCTGAAAAGATATTTTTATCTGCCATTAAAGATCCTAGTTAATTAGTTCGTTAGTTGTTTAATGAATGAATAATTATTCAAATCCACTTGCACTTGACAACAACAACTAGGTATCAGTTATTATTTTTATTTCTTCTTCAATTATATACAGATACTAAATAAAAGCTCCATAATATATTTAGTTCAGTTTGTTTTCAACGTAGAACTATCAGATTGTTTTGAAAGCTTAATGCAGTCACTATAACAATATTCAAATTTCACAATCAACCCACTCCTGTTTTGGAGCCTATTATTATTTCTTTATAGTATATATATACTGTCTCTTATACACATCTGCATTTAGCATTTGGAGTTCTTTTTATACAATTGGCCAATACTATAAGAGTATAGAGGTTTTACTTGGAACAATTGATGTATTGAAGAAAAATTCTGATCATCAATTTGAAGCAAATGTTATGCTTGTTTCTAGTTATTTTATGCTACACGACTATGAAAATGCTTTTCAAATTCTTAGGAAGGTCTTAGATAGTTCATATCAAGTTGATTATCTGAAGTACAAAGAGAAGCTTGAGACTCTGAGAAAGCTGGCAAGAGCATATAAAGTATTGTAATGTAATGTATGCCAATCTGAGCACTGATTGGCAATACAGGTATACACAATTTCATTATTAAGTCACAATTAATTAAAAGGTTTCTAATGATTATTGGATATTTTGCCCCATATTATCTTGTACTAAAGCTGTCTCTTATACACATCTAACTTTGCATTATCGGACACAGCAAAATACCTCAAGTTTTTGTGTGGAACACAAAAAATCAAATTTCAGTCTTATTTTACATTTTTTTCATTCTTAGGAATGTCTAAATTTAGTTAAACTAGCAATTCCGTATTATATTTATAAATCTTTATAACATTATACAAAAATTAGATTTTTCTTAAAAATTGAAATTTTGCCGGGAATGGGGCTTTAAGCTACCCCTCTAAACCCCATCTTATCGGACGGAGACACCTCTTCCCAAACCTAGCCTCCGCAGGCACTTGGAGGCACTTTAAACATAGGTTGATGAATCCCCATGTTTAATTGCTTCGCTGTATTGTAGCCTTGGTGTTGTACTCTTTGATGTGCAGAGACATGCAGATGCAGCAATTGCTTTTAAAGGGTTTCTAAAGTTTATTTGATATTAGACCATATTAACCTGTACTAAAATGTACAGGCTTTTACAACTGTTGTTCATAATGCTACTTGTCCACCATTGGACAAGTGGCATTTTCATTCTATTGTATATTTATAAAAATAATATCAAATGAATTCAATTTTGTATGATTAAAGTTTGAAAATATTTGAATAAATTTGACTGCTTATTATTCCACCCAAAAGATACCAGAAGCCAATCATCTAATGCTATTCCAACATGGAACAATATTCAAGGAAAGAGCAGTTTCCAATACCAAGCATCAATGCTCTGGAATGACTTCCAGTAAATATTCATAAATATTACCAAACAATAGGTCAAGTTGATTTTTGAAACTTTCTTATTTTTGGCCATTATTTTTAAAACTAATTGTACTATATCATCTTGCATTAGAGGAGGCAAGGCTACCTTTTCTTAAAGCAAAGAGGGAATGTCTTGTCCTCTCATTTGGACTAGAATTAATGAAATCTAATTAAAAAAGATTTTCCCCCTTCTTGCTGTAAGTGAACGATAACCCTCAGATCAAATGGTTAATCTAAATGCAAGACTGGAAGATATAAATTTTCTGTTCATCCCCACCATTGTGAAATTGTTAAATGCCCAGTAATCAAACGAGATGCATTCTCTTTTTTTTGTTTAAATATTTCAAATTTCAATGTCTGTACTGGTTTATATTTATAACATTTTATGAAATTATTTTTATACAAAAATGTAATATTGCAATTTCATGTACAGAATGTAGAAATTTATAAATTTTAAAGAAATACAGGTTTGTTAGGTGAATTTCTGTATAGTTTGAATATTGTATATATTTTTTCTAGTATTCTTTAATGTTTTTTGTAAATATTTGCTTTTGATTGTAAGGTAATAATTGTTCTGCCTTTTGTAATGTTATTTATACTTGAATAATTAAATGAATTAATTTATTAAATGTTCAATTGTTTTTACTGTACCCTCATTTTATACTTTATTTCATTTTCGCGAATATTAGTTAATAAAATATATTTACCGAAGCAGGGCTTAAATTGTATTGAAAGAGCTTAGAATTAAAAAGAATAAAGACAGATTTGTATTGTATTTGTATTTATTCACAGTCCACCTGATATTTTGGCTTATCAATCAATTACAGATTTCATTTCATTTCATTTATTTTGCCAAATAGATATAAATATATAAAATATACAAATATAAAATTTCAAAAATAGTAATTGTTGTCATGCGGTATAAGAAAACATAATATATTTACAAAAAGATTAAAAAGGCCTAATAAAAAGTGCAGATAAAATAAACCACAGAGAGAGCAATCGAGCAAATTCCCAAATCCCTTAAATGTTGTTATAATAATCATTCAGTTCCAGTTTCAGTTCAGATGCAGTGTTAGATCCACTTTGATCACTGATGCTACTGATGTTGTTACTGATTGGCTTGTCAGGTATATGACAGTGCAGTTGTAACAGTAGACAGTAGCGGATCCAGGGTGGGGGTTCAAGGGGTTCGGACAAATCCCACCCCCCAATTGCAGTATTATATTCAGTTAATCTCACTATTCATTCATATTATTTTTAGATTAATGTTAATAAATTTTTTTTTTTTCTATAGAGATCAAACTGAAGAATGGAAGGGTTGGATGCAAGTAATGTTCGTGTGGTATCATTATTATCACGCCGTGGAGACGTATAACATGATAAGGATCTTCATTGCATGCTACGTTTGGATGACCGGATTTGGTAAATATTCATTAGTTTTCACACTCGCTACTTGTTTAATACAATTTTGAATATTTTGTTGCTTTCTGTTCCTGCATAGAGCATGCTACCATGTCTGCCATTATATTGTTTCTTTTCAGTTGATTTGAACAATATAATATATTGTAGAGGGACAATTTGAGCTAAGTTAGCAGTTCTTGGATATGAAATAATGTAATGCTTGTAAGAGTGAGGCAGTTTATTAGTCATGTGAGAATTTATACCTTTAAACTCTGCAGTAAAAAAAACCTGCTTAGTTATTCTTCTGTTTGCTCAGATGAACATTAAGTGTTTTAAAATGAAACATACATATATTGGTTTTTCTTAAATTGTATCAAAGTTAAACTAAATTTACAAGAATTTAACAATTTATATATTTATCTTGCAATATAATTAAATTTCTTTACCTTTATCTCCATTTAGGTAATTTTTCCTTCTTTTGGATTCGTAAAGATTTTTCGGCATGGCGAATGTGTAAAATGATGTTCCGCTTGAACTTTCTAGTTATTATGGTTGCCATGACTACCAATAACCAGTATATGCTGTATTACATATGTGCAATGCACACGTATTGGTTTATCTCAGTCTATGTGTTCATGCGTGTTTTGTCATCCTGGAACGAGCAACCAAAACGAATGGCCCTCAAGTTTTTTGCGTATTTCATTTTCAATGCGTTGATATTTGACGTACCTCATGTTGCTGATACCGTGTTTCTACCATTTTGGCCGGTACTCTCCTACAAAGACTCACTTCACGAATGGAAGTTCCGAGCTGGATTGGACCACTACGCAACGCTCGTTGGAATGTTATGCGCATATAATTACCCTCATTTTGAGAGGTTTATCAAGTACATTGATCAGAAGCATATAGATCCACGTGATTTTAAGATAACGGTTGCAATCAAAGTGATGACTGTGGGCGTATTGTGCATGCTTATCCTTGTCTGGTACGATGCTCTTATGTTTCGAGATAAATTTGAATACAATCTCTACCATCCATACACTTCATGGTTCCCAATCATCTCATTTATTTTTGTGCGTAATATCTTTCCAGTGTTTCGCACACATCACATTGGGTTATTCGCTTGGTTGGGAAAGGTCACTCTTGAAACGTATATATCACAATTACACATCTACATGCAGTATAACGCAACTAAGACCATAGTTTACATCGCAGGGTATCCTTTAATGAATTTTGTAGTTGCCAGTTTGATTTATCTGTTTGTATCCCACCAGTTGTTTAAATTAACTACTGAGTTTAGTGCTTACCTTCTACCAAAAGATATGAAGAAGGTGATGTGTAACTTTATTGGTGTGGTTTTAGTATTTGCTCTCTATTTTTGTCTTGCTTTCCTTCTTCGGGATTCTGGTGTGTTATAGATGTGGAAAAATATTTATAAAAAAAGTTTTATTAGGCCATATTAATTTAATTGTTTGTCTCAAAGCTCTCCTGTTTCCAAAAACCTAATGCAGATGGCATTTTTTTTTTTTCAGTTTTCTTTTTAAAATTATAGTCTGTCAACACACATGTTGTAGGCTATTAAAGGAGGTTACACTTCAAGCGAGATATATATTTCATGTTTCTACCTTTTTAGGCGAGAACAATGCGCATAGGAGCTTTGAGACAAACAATTAAATTAATACTGTATGCTCTCATTAAAGAATGTATTTCTTAGCCAGAGTTCTTTTTAATCTTTATCATGGATTAAAATAAACGCAATCGACTGGAAAATGCATGGTTTTTCGGAGTGTGCCTGTTCAAATACGACATGTTACTGATGTTGAATATTATTGGATTTGTATGCCAGTTAACAATTTAGAAGTTCAATTAGAATTTGAACTTTGAACATGTCAGCATTTGTCTTATTGAAATGGGAACTTTCGTGCTCAGCAGAAAATCCGTTAAGTATTTTTCGTATTCTGTTGGTTAAATAACACTAACCTTTTCGTTGAGTTTGTACTAAACGTTCAAAATACTTTGTTGAGTTTGCACTTCGAATATGCCAATTGTTTGCTAATGCTCCAAATATTGGGGCTTTTCCAAGGAGAGGTTCTGGTCCTCTGCATAACACCAGGCAGATTAGGTACGTGAGAGCCTTAAATCCACATACTATGAGTGCATACTATGATTTTTAAGCTAGACTCAAGATTAATGAAGGATTAGGCCCAATAACATGTTTTTATTAGTTTATCACCCTCACACATCTTCTATAGTAGTGAAAAAACAATTTTGGAAAACCATTTTTTCTTCTATTAAGTAGTAGATATTGTTTGTATTATCTCAATCATGTTTTGCTTTGAATATCAATACACCAGCAAACAACCCAAAGGTGATGATTGGCCTTTAGCAAAAAAAAAAATAAAAAAATAAAAAAGCCTCCCTCCCTCATCACTTTTCCAGCCTAGATTGGGAGATAAATTAATAATAAGAGATTTAACTTAAAAATGCACCTTATTATTTTTGGAAAATGCTGAAAATGTCTTTAAACAAAAGCCTTATCAGAAAAATTGAAAAAGAAACTAAGGTTTCAATGGGTCTTTTATTTTGAACATTAGCAGTCCTACTATAACATCTACTTTTTTCAAAATGTCTAACTCAAAGAGCTCAATCACCAAGCGCATAGAGGCTTTTTCGCATGATGCGCTTTACAAATCAAACTCTTATTATTATTTATTTGTTCACTTCTTGATGGTATTTAAAATACTGTAGTGGTTATTAAATTACTACACACACTAAACCTTTATTTTATAAATATAATACACTTAATATATTTGATCTAAACAAACTACAAACCTATAATTTTATGTATCGATTTATAAGTAATACACTCCCAATTCATATTACCCTATTATTCCCAACCCAACAGTCTGAAATCCATAAATATCCAACCAGGTTTTCAAAAAACAATATCACCACAGAAAAATGTATATCTTCTCTTTAAAAAAATTCATTATTTTATAATAGACCTAAGTTATGGAAATCCCTTGACCCCTTTTTAAAATCTTTGCCCAGTTTTTCTTCTTTTAAACTTAACATCAAACGATATCTGGTCTCGATGTATGGTAATTAAGCCCTCTACAGTATGTATTATAATAGAAACCAGACTACCTGTTTATGTTTTTAGTTTCTGTATATTTTATTTTTATTTTAATGGTGGCCACATCTTAAAGTTTTTTTAAACTTATTGTGGTCTCCATCCACATAGATTTTTTGAATATATTTGATCATGTATATGTTTTTTTTTGTGTTCATTATGTGGAAAATAAATAAATAAATCAATCAAATTGGGTGCCTCTCCCTCGCCTAAAATCAAAGCAGCACTATTCTCTATAATATTCTGCCCAGTGGTGCTGCCAGAGTTAACGGGAGGTCTGATGTTCCCGACCGGGAGGGGTTAAAAATTGGGGATGGCCGATTTTCCAAAGGGAGAAAGTAGGTGGGGGCAGGGCATTCCAGAACCCTTAAAGGGGTCCCGGGGGAAACTACCCAGGGTAGGAAACTCAGACTGTATAGGGATTTGAAATGCTTTAAATGAGTCTTCATACTAACTGTTTTTCTTCCTGACAAATTATGTTTGATTTCTCGGGGACATAGGAGTCGGAAAGCTCTCCTTGATGGGCTGTTTTACTCTATATAATTAAATTACAAAAATAAAATTTTTTCAGCAATAATTTTGTGTTGTGCTCTACCTACCCACTTACTGAAAGGACGTTTATTTGAGTAGTGTGTAAATTTTCTACTAAAAAATAAAATAATCGTCTCCATTAGATAACTACCCCTCAAAAATCTTAAAAATAAAGAAATATGGTAGACCTATCTAATGAAGTGGGAGTGCATCATCACATGTACTTAACTGCAAAAACTGATAGACCATGATTTACAGTTTTGTTACCAAAAATTTAAATTTAAATTTTAAAAAAGCCAACAATGAGGTATTTTCAAGAGAGGGTTTTGTTTTAGATGCTTAGATATGCATGTTCCTACATTCTCAAGTGTCTGGTGGTAATGATTTTAGATTTCAGAATTTTTTTTTGTGCTAATGGTGATGGTGATTATGAGGATTTGACTTTTATAACGATGACCGTAAATAAATAAATCCATAATGATAACAAACTGTAGGCGGTGGAACAGTTTTGTGAGTGATGGAATGACTATAATGACATCAAAGTGAGCTCATCAGAAATGGGGCCAGAGGATTAGAAAGATTATGTCACTCTGGATGTAGAGGGGGGTGGGAGAGAGAGGGTAGGGAACCTGGAATGTCATTATCAGTAATAATTACAATAGCAATAATTAATCATAATGAATCAATAATGAATTCTTTAATTAATTAGGCCTAATAATAATTAATAACAATCATAATTAGGTAATTATAATAATTAATAATAAGCTAATTTGTTAACCATCTTTTTTACTAGGCCTACTAGCATCTTTCGTGCATCTCTAGCTGGGGACCACAGGCATTTTAATGGGATCCAGTTCATGCCAATTGAACTCTAAATGGTGGGACAACAGTATTACCAATTAGATCAGTTGAACCCATTTGAGCCCCAATCACAAACCAATGCCACCCACTTATTTACATGACAACATTGTCTTAAAAATTATTCTACTCGTCTATCGCTATTTTACCAGCATATATCTCTAAATTTGTTTCGTTAATGTCCACCAACAAGTCTTGAAACAAAAGTCTGGCGGGATTCAAACCTGCAATCCTTGCTTTCAACCCCAAGGCACTTTTTCTCATACAACTAATCAAAACACTCAGACATAGTAGAACTAAGTTTAAGTTAGAAAATCTTTACTGCTTTAGGATGATTTTTTTTAAAAAACAAGTCAGGAACCACTTTGTATCTTCTGAATTAATTCAATTTTATTTTCATCTTCATCAATACGTTTTAATCACTGCAAATAAAGCCGATGATTGTTCTATTGGCGTCAATATATTATAAAGCTCCAATAGTGTGTTGACATGTACTTAACCACAATTGATCTACATCATAAATTCATATCTGATCTGCTTCACTGGCAGAGGGCAGGAGGATTGTTTTCCAACAACAAATCATTGAATTATTTCAAGGCTATTTTCTCCATTTAGGTATACATTTACGTAAGCTTTGTATCACGGTACAATGCACTACAATGCTTTTGAAAGCATACTTTATAGTTCAACTATTGTACACGATTTTGAATGACTTCATGAATACATTTAAGATTTATTTTCACTGCAAAGAACCGAAATGTTCTCGGTAGGTCTAGCCTGGCTCTGTGACTATTTTAGGCCTACTATTTTTATGACTACTGTTTATTCAGGAATCAGAAATCACATAAATATAGCATACGATTAATAATAAATGTATTATTATCTGGTAGTGTTCATTTATCTAGTTGGAGGTCTGTTGAAACACTTAATAAAGCAATTCAATTATTCAATATATTTAATTTGAATTTTTATCACAAAACCTCCCTCTAAAATTGTCAATACAGTGCTATAGGACCTGTATTATGCACTGTACCATTTTCCACATTTTTTCACACTGAATGTTGTAAAACCACCATTTTAACCAATAATTTATACAGTGGCATGTCTTGAATGGGGGCATGAATGTGGAGTGGGTGGGGGAGCTTGATGATCAGTTGAGGGGCGCTAATACGCAAAATATGGTGATTTTAGGTGATTTTTAACTGTTTGACCATGATTTTTTTTTTTGGGGGGGACTGGGGTGTGAGTTATCTAGGCATGTCGTGGCGTGAGTAATCTAGGCGTGGCGTATCTAGGGACCCCCCTCTAGATACGCCACGCCATTTATATAGTGTATTAGCATGTCAACTGCCTAGTGTGAGCATTCTCAGTAGATTGCATTGCCACTAGGGTTTCTTAGAGAGTGTGCAAGTCATTTTGTATTTTTGATTAATATTCTGTTTTTTCAGTCAGCTCAACGTCATGCACTTGTCTGTTGTAATGTTTGGCTGGCAAAAATTACCGTTGAAATAATTCCTATTTGTTATGGAATATAGGAAAGAATTGTGTTCTGTATCATGACTGCCAACATTATGAAGACAAAAATGTTCTTAGGAAGAAAAAAAATTAAATATATTTAAATTTATATATATATTTTTAACCAGGACCTTTCGAAGTCAAACATTCCAAGTTCTTTCAGAGCATGTATTGTGACCTACTGTGGCCTCCAAAGTAAATAAAATTTTATGAATAAAAACTTTGTTTTTCTTGATATCCTAGTGCCTTAAACATGTGTGTCATTGACCTTGCCTATTTTTAAACATTATTATCGTATTTATTGAATGTATGAATTATTGTTTTAAGTTATATGATCAGCTGGTCTATAATATTATATACATTGTCAGTGGGTTCCAAGTT